AATTATTTCTTAATCTCCCTCCAAGCTTTGGTCAAATAGTTAAATGGTTAAATACTTCATTAGTTAACTGCTTGGAAGCCCTGAAGCTACATTAAATTAAACCTTCAGGTTTCTGAATTAAACTAATTTCAGGACAAAGAGAAAAACTAATGAATACAAACCAGAAAACTCAATTTAACAGCATTTAAACCTAAAACATGTAAAGCCTTTAAACCTAAAACATTTAAACATTTAACAGCATTTAAACCTAAAACATTTAAAGCCTTTAAATCTAAAACATTTAAACATTTAAAGCCTTTAAACCTAAAACATTTAAACATGTAAAGCCTTTAAATCGTGAGCTGCTCACTGAGTCTCAGAGGAACCAGAAGAACAAAGTGAAACTTTTCTACCTGAAAATAAACATTTTCTCTCCGTTTGTTGATTAACTTCAGAAAAGTGTTTTCCTCGGTGTTAAACCATCCTGGAGGATGCTAAGCTAAGCTAAGCTAGCTGCAGCCTGTTAGCTGCTTAGCTTCAGAGCTACACGCAAATAATCCCAGATGTTCCTGCTGAGGAACCAACATCTAGAACCTCCAGAACCTCCAGAACCCTAACCCTCCTTCCAGCAGCTTCTTACCTCCAGGCTGCAGGTGAAGATCCGCATCAGCATCCGGCTCGTGCCGGACCAACTGAGATCACTTCCGGTAACGGGTCACTTCCGGTCTCTTGTTCCAGGGCAAACTGAGGACCTCCTCCTCCTGTGATCCTGGAGTCTCTGCAGTGGGAAAACTTTCCAAGACTTCAGCAGAATTTAGACTTTTATTTTGAAACTAAAGCTTTAATATTTATGTTAACTTGATTTAACTCTAATAAGCCTTAAGTAATTATCTCTGTCCTACAAAAGGTACAAAGCCTTTGAAAAGTGCTCAAACAATCTGAAATGATGTAATAATTTATACAATCTTTTATAGCATCTAAAACTGAAAAGGAAAAATGGCTGCCGCTGTCATAAGATGATGCTAATCCTGATGATCCTCAGAACCAGAAAGTTAAAAGACTTTTATTCTAAACTCAGAGTTTAAAGGGATCCCAATCAATCACGACCTGACAGCTTTCTGCAGTAAATGGGTTCATTTTGCTTTCCTGACTTTGATTTCATTTACAGCCGAGTAGACGTGATACTGAGAGAGTGATACGAGTTAGAGAGTGATAGAATGAGAAGGTCAGAGGATGATAGAGTGAGAGAGTGAGTAAGAGAGTGATAGTGTGTTAGAGTGAGTGAGAAAGTGATAGTGTGAGAGGGTGATAGAGCGATAGAGTAAAAAAAAGATAGAGTGAGAGAGTGATACTGTGAGAGGGTGATAGAATGAGTGAGTGATAGAGTGAGAGGGTGAGCAAGTGAGTGAATGAGAAGGTGAGTGGCAGATAGTGACGTGATACTGAGAGAGTGGGAGAGTGAGAAGGTGAGAGGATGATAGAGTGAGAGGGTGATAGAGTGAAAAAAGATAGAGTGAGAGGGTGAGTGAGAGAGTGATAATGTGAGAGGGTGAAAGAATTATACAGTGAGTGAATGAGAAGGTAAGGGCCAGATAGAATGAGAGAGTGAGCGAATGAGAAGGTGAGTGGCAGATAGAGTGAGAGGGTGAGTGAGAGAGTGATAGTGGTTAAGAGTGAGTGAGAGAGTGATAGTGTGAGAGGGTGACAGAGCGATAGAGTAAAAAAAATAGAGTGAGAGAGTGATACTGGTTAAGAGTGAGTGAGAGAGTGATAGTGTGAGAGGGTGACAGAGCGATAGAGTAAAAAAAATAGAGTGAGAGAGTGATACTGGTTAAGAGTGAGTGAGAGAGTGATAGTGTG